CGTTTCGAGCTCAATTTTTGCAGTGTTTTTTAGTGTCAGTTATGATAGACAAACATAGCTAGATAAAACATATAACACAAACCTTTGCAGAGCAGTGGGGGCTCCAGGACTGGAGCTGGAACCTCAGTGGAACACGATGGCTTGCAAAACTCTTGGATGATTGCGGGTGCCGTGAACTTCATAAACATTGCATTTACATCTGTATTTGAGTCTCATTGTAAGCTTCTGTGCATGAGCAAACAGCTTATCAGATAGTGTAGTGCGCCAGATACACTATACTGCCAGAAGTTTTCGCTCATCTGCCTTCACATGCATATGAACTTGAGTGACATCCCATTCTTAATCCATAGGGTTTAATACGATGTCGGCCCACCCTTTGCAGCTATAACAGCTTCAACTCTTCTGGGAAGGCTTTCCACAAGGTTTAGGAGTGTGTTTATGGGAATTTTTGACCATTCCTCCAGAAGCGCATTTGTGAGGTCAGACACTGATGTTGGACGAGAAGGCCTGGCTCGCAGTCTCCACTCTAATTCATCCCAAAGGTGTTCTATTGGGTTGAGGTCAGGACTCTGTGCAGGCCAGTCAAGTTCTTCCACACCAAACTCGCTCATCCATGTCTTTATGGACCTTGCTTTGTGCACTCGTGCGCAGTCATGTTGGAACAGGAAGGGGCCATCCCCAAACTGTTCCCACAAAGTTGGGAGCATAAAATTGTCCAAAATCTTTTGGTATGCTGAAGCATTAAGGAGTTCCTCTCACTGGAACGAGGGGGCCGAGCCCAACTCCTGAAAAACAACCCCACACCATAATCCCCCCTTCACCAAACTTTACACTTGGCACAATGCAGGTAGACAAGTACCGTTCTCCTGGCTACCGCCAAACCCGGACTCGTCCATCGGATTGCCAGACGGAGAAGCGTGATTCGTCACTCCAGAGAACACGTCTCCACTGCTCTAGAGTCCAGTGGCGGTGTTCTTTACACCACTGCATTCAATGCTTTGCATTGCGCTTGGTGATGTAAGGCTTGGATGCAGCTGCTCGGCCATGGAAACCCATTTCATGAAGCTCTCTATGCACTGTTCTTGAGCTAATCTGAAGGCCACATGAAGTTTAAAGGTCTGTAGCAATTGACTCCGCAGAAAGTTGGCGACCTCAGCGCACTACGTGCCTCAGCATCCGCTGACCCCGCTCTGTCATTTTACGTGACCTACCACTTTGTGGCTGAGTTGCTGTCGTTCCCAATCGCTTCCACTTTGTTATAATACTACTGACAGTTGACTGTGGAATATTTAGTAGCGAGGAAATTTCACGACTGGACTTGTTGCACAGGTGGCATTCTATCACGGTACCATGCTGGAATTCACTGAGCTCCTGAGAGTGACCCATTCTTTCACAAATGTTTGTAGAAGCAGTCTGCATGCTTGGTTTTATACACCTGTGGCCATGGAATTGACTGGAACGCGTGAATTCAATGATTTGGATGGGTGAGTGAATACTTTTGGCAATATAGTTTATGTTTAGTATGTTCCTCCATTTCCATAACGACATAGCACTGCCCAGCAGCAGTGAGAGATCCGGTGTGAAGTGCAAGAGAACATGTATCCTTTTTGTTTGTGCATTCTGATGCAGTATCAGACAAGCAGTGTGACCCCATCCTGCCCCAGGCACAAGACAGTGCAAATCCAAACTGCCATAGTCTCTAACCAGCACAAGCTAGTGTAATTTTAGTCTGTCCCTGTCTCAGTCCAGCACAATCTAGTGTAATTTCAGATTTCTTCAGTCTCAAACCAGCACAAGACATTGTAAATCCATACTGTTTAGTCTCATGACCAGCATAAAGCCTGGGTACACTACATGACTTTAAGCATGTAGCAAACTGTAAAAAGAAATTATAAAAAGACTGTATCTTGTTACCACCCTAAACAGAGAGAGTAAGAGACCACGAATGAAATACAAGTGCAGTTTCCTCATAGATGGCTTGATCTTGAATGAATAATGATATATAACATAAAACAAGGCTCATTTACATGCTTTTCAGTTCAGTCCACTGACAATAAAATAGAGTTTTTAAGTTATTTCTTCTCTATACAATTACAATTAGCTCGAGACAATTACTTAACTGTTCAATCTCTATGTTGCATAATCCACACTTCCTTTCAAAACAAAAATCCTTATAACACGCAACTACTAAAACACACAAAACATATGCTTAAGAATGTCTAACTACATCAGTAAATGAACAGCTCTTGAAAGGAATTATTTCCATGGAGTATATCTATCCGCCATTATCGTTATCTAGTCTGCCACGCACATTCTACGCGTATAGTGATATCGTGAAATGGCGGCGCTGACCTCCTTAACTAACGATTTCCATCATACGCACATTCAAACTACTACAGGACTTACAAGCTATTAGAATAAACGAACATAAATAACAAAAACATACATCTTTCACAGTTGACGGTAATTACTGAGTGGTTGTGGAACACGATTAGCTCTGGTTTTTCCATTTGAGTTAGCTTAATATCCTCACTAGACTTTACTAGTAACACCATTACTGCATTTGCTTATTTTTACAAACAACATATAACTACTTTTAGCTTAAGATGTGTTTACTATAACAATTTCAACAATTGGACCGTATTTTCTTGGATTCCTACCTAAATAGAGGGAGTAAGAGACCACGGATGAAACACAAGTGCGGTTTCCTCATAGATGGCTTGATCTTGAATGAGGAAAAGCCCGTGAACGCCCCCTACTGTCTGGATCGAGGCATAGCCAATCGATTGCAGATCACTATAGTAAGGACTACTGGTAGATTTCCTATTTTAAAGAACAGCCAAGCTTTATGTCTTTCAATACTCTTGATCATGGATTAACCATCATATTCCTTCTTTTTCACATAAAATCTCAAATGGCTCCAGAGCTATGAGTTTACCACAGATGAATTTTTCTATTTATAAGCCACAATCTCACACTTTCCAATTGATTTTTGCTGATCTTTATGTCGAATGAAAAAATGTCCATCTGTCGTTCTTTTCGTGAAAACTACTCACATTCAAATCCAAAAATGAAATAATTACAAAGATTAAGGTTTTTACAAGAAAACAGCATTAATCTGAGTAAATTCTCAAGAAGCAACTGCTCAAATAAAGAAATACATCAATCCTTTTGGGGCAAAGGAGGAACCTTTGCCCCTCCCAGTATTCTCAGTGGTTAAGTTCTAAGACCTCAGAGTGCTCCCCTCACTTCTAACCAATGACATCTTCCATAAAAAAAAGTTCACTGAGGCCACTACTTTAATGTCTAAACTGTTTTATAAGGCCTTACCAGGCCAGTGTTACTTTATTCAACATATAAACTTCCATGATCTGTAGACAATTAGTATTGATGACAAAATTTAGACAATTAGTATTGATGACAAAATTTAACGACAAGATCGTAATGCGCACTGTACGGTGTAAATTTGAATGACAAAGTCTGTCTAAGTTTAAGTAATGAGTATTGTGTCACACCAGTTCACACAGGTTTTTACAAAGCATTCAGAGCTCATCAAAAAGGCCGCTGTTGATTTTGAGAGAAAAAGAGGCAGTCTGTCTCACTGTGCTTAACCCATTTTCAGACCAACAAAGTCCAGTCTAACTCCAGCCTAGCCCTTTATCAGACCAGCACATGCTGGTGTAATTCCAGCCTGTCTAATACACTCAAAAAAATGACTCTTTGAATTTACTTAATTTTTTTTCATCAAAGTGTTGCACGAAATTAAATTATCTACATTCAGATATATAATTTGAGTAACATTTACTCATTACCTATAAGCAATGTCAACTTAACTATATTTTGCAGGATTTACTTCAATAACTTCAGTAACTTTAACTGAAATGAATCGTGCAAATTATGTAGATTGTAGATAACTTTTTTTTAGTTAAAACTCAAATTTGATGCCTTTCTGATGACATTTACTCATTGCTTGTAGGTTTTGTCAGCTTAATTATATTTTGTAAAATTTCCTTGGTGTAATTTTTACTAAATTTAATCATGTTCATGCTATTTCATTAAATTATGTAATTGTTAAATAACTTTTTAGTAAAACTAGTAAATTTTGATGTATTTCCAAATAGTTACTCATTGTTTTATTATGTACAACAGCTTAATTATATCACAGAGCATTTATTAATGTACAATTTTAAATGTTAATTTTCACTAATTAAACTTCAACTACACTTTAATGTTCCATCTTTTTAAACACCTGGTCAAGACAACAACTATGACAATAAAAAAAAATTACTGTGACTTTATTAAGGTACATCAAATGCACATGCATATTAGGATCAACTAAAATACACATTTGCTTTATCACTATAGAAAAACACTGAATATTAAGTAATAAAACAAGACTGTAGACAAAATAAAGCAGAGCAGTAAAAAAATAGATTAAATACTTCTCTAAAAGTGCACCGCTATCAATACATTATTGCTTGTCTTGCAGGCAACACAAGCTAAAATGCAACTTTACATACAATAAGCTTCAAACTGAACACTGCAATTATAAACACATTCACCCAAATGTGTGTGCCTTTCATCACAATTCATTAAGCCTTAAGTAACGACCCAGAATTTGTGAAACAATGAAGTAACATTCAGTAACTATGTAATGATAACACTAACCTTAAGTGCAACTTTACAACAGCAGATATTTAAAATAGAACAGCACAATAACACAGTATTAATGTTATATGACTTTATACAATATCCAATTGTCATCAATGATCAAAATAATGCCCCAGAAATAGGTGCCTACAGAGTACAGCCTTCTTGTCAAAGCACTGTCTCTAGTTAGCACAACCTTATTTTGCTTATTAGACTTTGCAAATTTGGGGTGAAAATTTATAGAGCTCAAATTGTTCAAAAGGCTACTTTGCACAGTGTTAACAAAAAAGACTCTAAAATTTAACTGCATGCTGTTTTAAGACAAAATTGTTCTTAAACATGACCAGGATCTTGACATGTTGTATAGAAAATCATTGAAATGTCATTGAATTTTAAAAGAGATGTTGACAGCCATTCTTGTTTCACGTGACTTAAGCGTTGTTCAAAAGCCCATTGCTTTTCAATCAAAGCAGAAGCTAGTGTGAAAAGTTCCATATATTTCCAGAATGGACAGCCTACTTTGACTATCCCACGATTTTGTTCTCCAAACCAAGAATATTAGGGGAGAACTTTGCACCATCCTTTGGCATGAGGAATGTACAAATTCATAGCAGCATTTCCGCCCATTGTGATGAGCCATATTCAGTACATAGATTACTCCAAGCATTACTGCAGTCTGGTGCAACTGATTTGATGTTTCCTACAATAATGTTTCCGTCAGCGTCAACCTTTTCATATTCTCCAAGAGCTCCACCCTCTTCTGATGACATAAATGTCCATTTCAGTGCTGTGCTGGTCTCTCAATATGTCTTCACCATGAATGTCCTACAAATTAAATCTTGTTATTAATACTACACTTCATTGTACTCTTGCTCCATAAAGAGCAAGTTCAGTTTATTTCTCATCTGAGCTCCTCTAAATACTTCCAGGCACCTCCGACAGTTTTTTTAATATCAAATACTTATTTTATGATGAATCTAAATAAAATCAGCCCCCATCTCCACAAACCTCCATTCAATGGTCAAATACACATTACAAAATGGATAGTTCTAATTCACCCTTCTCACACTAGCACCTACAATCTATTACTGGTGCTAACATACTAACACACCAACGCTGCGTTTCGATTTGGATTTACTACACAGATGGGAGGGGGCTGATTTTATTAAGCAAATGTTATTAGCAATTGATATAAGAACTGAGGTGCCTAGAAGACACACACAGTATTTAAAAGAGCTCAAATACGAAATAAGATGAATTTACCTTAGTTAGAAATTAGAAGTGAATTAGAATGATGGTGATGTGCTCAGGTCACATACTGACTTACCCTGTACTCCTTGATAAGAAATCCATCATCATCATTCAGGTGCAGACAAAGAGCTTTTATGATGGCTTCTCTTTTACGGTGGACATTCTTCACCTGCACATATTGATTGCACTTGTTAGAATATACCTTCAACTGTTTTTAAAAAAAGAGGTACATTAACTTGACAAGCATGCAAGGAACAGATAAAAGAAACATGAACATCAAAATCCCGATCATCTTAGAGACTGAAAAATTATTACTAATTTGAACAATAAAACAAATAAATAAAAAGTAGCTTTACAAAACAAATAGCCTTATAGTTAAATATCAAATCTGGATCATAAAAATGCACTTACCAGAGACTTAGAACATGCCACAGAATCCTTTAAAACATGGCACTCAACGACCTTGTTAAGCCTTAACCTATAAACAAATCAAATCAAATCAAATTTATTTGTATAGCGCTTTTTACAACTGATGTTGTCACAAAGCAGCTTCACAGAAATCCGTTTAGAACAAAGTTTCAACATGAAATGTAAATCCTCCAGGTGAGCAAGCCAGGGGCGACAGTGGCAAGGAAAAACTCCCTCAGTTGAGGAAGAAACCTTGGGAGGAACCAAGGCTCACATGGGGGGACCCATCCTCCTCTGGTCAAACTACGTACAAAATTATTATTCTACTAATATTAATAGTAATAGTAGTAATAGTTAGGAGACTTCAGTGTAGAGTGGGCAGCCAGTCCAAGGCAGGTGGCGGTGACTGGGTTGTGGGTAACTGGTCTGAAGCGGGTAGCCGGAGAGCTCTACAAACAATCATCCAGCAGTGTCCGGCCGGACAGGTGAGCAGTCGTTTTCTCGTTTTCAAAGAGGACATTTACATAAAATTTAATGAAAGACCATGTTAACATTTTATCTTAAACATAAGCTTTACTTTAATGTTTTATCACTTTACCTTAATGTTTTATCTCACCATGTGCAAGAACATAACAGTGCATTATTTTGGCTGAAATTTAATAGTCTTAGAATAATATATATTATTTTATTCATATTTTGTATTAATCTTGTGAACATTATTTTAGTTTGAAACCAACTATGATATTTAAGTCACATCAAGGTTCTTTTAATCATTATAGCTATCAGGATTCCCTGTCTAGGGTTTGTGCATTATTGAGCATCAAAATCAATGTATAATAATTACTTCTACCACTTGACACTTGAAGACCATAATGTTAAACATAAATGCAGGTTGACTAAACATAAGGTAAACCCCATTTTGGTAACAATGACAGGGGAGTCACATAAGCAAAATACATTTGTGAGTTTTATATACATTTTATATACAAACTTATATTCTGCTTATAATAATGAGCAATGACACTGCTGTTATATGGGCAAACATAAACCTCTTCCACTACAGGGCTGAACAGTTAGCATTAGCTTGCTAATTAACAAGATAATGGATTCTATTATGCCGAACTAAATCTCCACTGACGATTCTGATGGAGCAAAGTCGAGCGATTGGTGTTGAAGGAACAGAAAGCTGAAATTAATTTTAAACCTGCTTTATGGTGCTTGTAGCCTACTACCTAGGTTAAGTTAGCTGCTAACACTAACGTTTGCTTAGCTAACTAACGCTAGCTAGCTGCGCTAACGGTATCAGAGTTCATGTTGGAACAAAACATGGCAAACTGGGTTCATCCAACAGAGCATTAAGTGTTAAATGGACAAACGTTGAAATTAAACCCGTTAACTGATGTCTGTAACCTACTAGCTGCTAACGCTATGTTTGCTAAGCTAACGCTAGCTATAATAGCGTTAGCAGGCTCCATATTCAAACCCCAGGCTCGGTGGAGCTAAGCTAGCTAACAGCTAGCTAGCTAACAAAGGCTGAAATTACACAGGTTCGTGGACACCTAGTACCCAAATATCACATCCAAAATCACAGGTGAAGCGAGCACAGCCTCCTCCGTGGGAAAAGATTATTACAGGTCACGTCAAAGACACACAACTAGCTAACGCTAGCTAGGTCTGTTTACTTCGAATATGCGTTGAACTGAGCCCCTCACAAACTTATGCTATGCTAGTCGTCCCTTAACTGTACGTTTTCATCAAAGTTATATCCAACGCTGCGTTGCGTGCATCTACAACCATCTAAACAATATTTTACTGTGTACCTGTACGATGACACAGCGGCTAAACGCACTCGTCTGCAGTGAACTTCAGAAAATGGCGCCATTACTTAGCTAGCTAGGCTAGGTCCACAGTAACGTTAGCTAACGGTTGTGTTCATGAGCAAACTTAGTGAGGACCTCGAGTAACCTCAACATGACAGATACTTATGAAGGACACATTAAATTAAAACATTGACCTTTACAATTAAAACACTGCGGTCAGCTTTAGTAAGTTTAGTGATTATTTGACTGAGTGACGTTATGTGTACTTTGAATATGCGTCGGTTTAAAATACCCTGGCTAGGTAGCTAGCTAAGTTAGCTAGCTAGCGGATTCCCTTAAGTCCTCCCTTAACCTTACGTTTTTGCCAATATGTTTCTGCGTAAATGTCATGAATATGTTATATGTCCATAATGACAAACAATAGACAATATACAATCTCCTACCTTGTAAATGTAAGGTGACAGAATTTCCTCAGGTCAGCCAAATCCTCCCAGAGACGAGGTGTAGAAAATGTCTGCCGTCAGCTCGGGAAAAGTTGTGCATGCGCAGTTTCTACCCCTTGACAACATAATTATTTCTAATTCACTTTAAGCGTGTTTCATATGCTTAGTTTACTGGTTTTCAACATTGCTTATTATTATTTAGTTGAAGCAAAAACACATTTAAATTGAGAAAAACATGCACAATTTTATTATGTAAAATTTACTCAGGGCCAAGTTCATTTTTTTCAGTGTAGTATCTATAGCAAACATTTTTGCAAAGCCATTTATAAGGTGGCATCTAGTTACTGACCTAGAGCTTCCAATGCTCCATTAGTAAAGTTCATGAAGCGCTGCAGATTATACCACAGATCCAACCAGCATTTTTCATAGTCTGACCCCATGGCAAAAAAGTAACTAAAGTTACATAAAGTTATGAAACTAAAGTTTCATAGTCTGACCCCATGGGAAAAGAGTAAGTAAACTCTTTAGGTATATCTACAAGTACACCTGCCCAGTTAAGTTTTGGTTTACCATCAAGTGATCTTCTGCTTCTAAAACGAGTATCAGGCAATCATGCAATAGAGTTGGTGAGAGCAGAAGTATGTTACCAGGTAGGGTGACAGAAGCACAACAACTTTCCCAGTCCTCTGGTAAAGCCTATATTAGCTAAGTACCATCCTTACAAACCTGAAACAAATCCACTACCGACAAAGTGCCATGCACATAACTTAGATGTCCCTCACAACTGTAATAGTCTGACTTAACCAAGGGTGTACTTGAGCCATCAAAATGTACAACACACTTATGTGAGATGTGACCATCATCATAATGTCTGTAACAGAAACAGAAAGGATAATGCTCACAAGAATCCAGAACTACAGTTGGTGGGGTTATAGTGGGCCTATGAAGTTTTGTGTGAGTGCACTGACTAACATCATTCACAATGAATTGTAAATACAATTCCCTACCTGTCAGGCACCATCACTATACAAGACCAAGGTAAGGCTGGGTGTCTGGTGGCCCTTCTTCATTTCCAGATCCCCAAGAAAAAAGCAAGGCCAACCTGCTCCTTGGGTTCAGCAGTGTCATCTCCATCATCAATAGGGCCTTCGTCAGCATCTGTTTGTCCTTCTCCTGCTGCTTGGTCTGCATCTTCCCCAAGCTGTTGAGCAGGGCTATCTGAAGTGGACAGTTCCCCAGCTTCTTGGGGTTCAACTGCACGGGTTGATTGCTCATCACCTGGTGCTATTGCTTTGGGATCATTGCTCACCGCTGACATGGGACGGTTGGGATTTGGAGCTCTACAGTGGTTGAGATGGTAAAACAATTTTGTTGCTTACACTTTTACTGCCATTGGTGTGGATGGAATCATAAAGAGACCCTAGATGTCTGGGCTCGTTCCTTTTGAAGACTTTGACGCAGACGTTAGTGTCCTGAAAGCACAAATTTTGGAGGTCCATTCAACTGTGGCACCTGAGCAAAAATATCTTTATGGATTTTAGTTAGACTTGTCGCATACTCAAGCAGTTCAGCTTTGAGCTGCTCAAGTGGTGGATCTTTATAGGGTCCTCTTACAAAAGGCAGAGTCATTGGTCGACCTGTAAGCATTTCATGCGGAGACAGGTGTGTTTTTGCAATTAGTGGATGTTCTTATGCTAAATACTGCATACGGCAATGCTTCAAACCAGTTCAGGTTACTGTCTGCACAGATTTTAGAAAATTTTGCTTTTAATACACCATTTTGCTTCTCAACCATTCTTTGTGATTGAGGGTGATAAACACATTTTATACACAATGCTTCAGTAATGATCTGAATAATTTTATTTACAAAGTGTTGCCTGTTATGTGGACTGATTTTATCAGGAATACTAAATCTGGGAATTACTTCTCTCAATGAAAAATTAGCAGCTGATTTTGCGTCAGCTTTAATTGTGGGCTGGGCCTCTATCCAACAACTGAAACCATCTACTTTGACCAGTACATATCTATATCTACCAACTCTTTGTCCTTTGTCAACACAGTCTATCATTATATGCCTACAAGTCCACCAGGTGTAGGAATATGACCTAGAGGTGCACAAAATAATTTTCTGACATTACATTTTGCACAGACAGCACATTTACTTAAGGCTTCATTAACCATTGGGATTAAATAAAGAGACCACCACAGGCCACTCCATGTGCATCCTGTATTAGAGTGGTAATCGAATGTGTTGGAGCAACAAAATGTCCCTTTGAACCTGGCTAAATCTGATTTTCATCTCAAATAGCTCCTATCTGTCTCCAATAGAGTATGTTCATATACTCCAGCTAGAGCTTGCAGTTCTTTTAGGTCAGCTAGATCAGCTTCATACTTATCTGATTCTTAATTGTTAATTATTACTACTAGACATTGGTGCACTGATAAGGCAGCTACATTATTGCCACATGTAACTAATGAACTGTCTGTTTTGTGTCCTGCGCATTTAAACAAACCCTCTTTGCTCCCAGATTGAACCAAACATGTGATACACAGAAGAGTCGGTGTGGATGGAACATTTCTTACCTTTTGCCGTCTGACATGCTGTGGTTAAAGCATTAATCTCAGCCAACTGTGCAGAACATGGTTTGCGAAAACTGGTTTAAAACAAAGTCTGAAAAGAGTCACTGTCAGGACAATACTGGACCACTGCACAGCCTGCCAAATTTTCTTCTAGTCCTCTAAAACAAGAACCATCACAAACAAGATTAGTTCATACTGTAAATCTTTTCTAGGTTTTAGAAAATTATCTATTATTTCACAATTATGTGGAGTGCTATCAT